TCCTGCTACGGGTTCCGTGGCGAGTGGCACACAGGCTTCTCCCCCAGTTTCTTCCAGTGGATTTGAGGACTGCAGTGCAAAGTTTATTTTAAAGAACGTTAATTTGTTCTTCCACTTAAGAACAAGATGAGCTCTTGAAATGAAACTGCCTGCCATAAGCACCCAGTTAAGGAGCTCCTTCAGCTTTAACGCTGAATTACAAGAATAACTGGAATTCTATTAGTTCGACAAAAAAGCCAGAATACAAACTGCCCAAGAGACTCCACTGCATCTCACCACCAAAACTCTAAGCTCTCCTAACACATGGTCACCATGAATTTAGCAGCTCCTCAGTCTTTCCGAAATTAAGGTTCCAAACAATGCTTAAATATCTTTAAGGACACAAGGAACCTCTTTGCAGAAGGAGACTGGAAGGACAGAAGGAGAAGAGAAAAACTATCTGATTTCAATAGCATGATTTAGCTAGGATCCTGGCTGAACAGTGAAACACAGCTTTGCTGCAACTGCCAGTGACTCAGAGGACAACCCTAAAGCTGCAGATACCTCCAGGCGCCCACCCTACGCGCGGTGCCCGCGACGCAGCACTCAGGCTGGCTGGTTGCTTAGGGCACAGTAAGGTTTCGGCAGCAGAAGTGCTTCAGATTACTCAGTGTCTGAAAGGAGCTCGCTCTACCTTACCCCATCGAAACAGATTACGGGAAAATAAACTTTAACCCACACGCTGATGAGCAATGAAACAGAGGGTTCAACTTTGAACCTTTTGATTAGAAACAGAATGCGACTACTTGTATTTGAGAACTTTGTACGTGACTGAGTAATTTGTAATCAAAGCAAGAGTGACATACCTGAAAAAATACGGCATGGCACCAGCCCAGGCCCTAGCCAGAAGTACCCCTAGGCCTGAAAGTGTAAAAGATTGCTTCCAGACACCAGCGGGACAGCACCGCCTCACCCCGCCACTGACTCCAGGGAAAGCAAATACCAGCTATTTTTTAAGATGGAAAAGAAGTATGTGAAGAGGTTAAGATATGGTGCTGCAGTGCAGGTGGCCGCAGGGATGCTCTCGAGAGCTCCTCCCAGTCGCAGATTCCTCTGGTGTACTCTTGGGCAATTATTCTCTGCCCTGACCACACAGCAGGGACAAATACTTCAATCATTTTGACTTGTTTAAATTTACTGCAGGACAAAACAAACATGTAAACATGTGTTGTTTTTTTTTTTTAAAGCTCACTAGTTACACAAAGAGACTGTGTGGTAGCAAGACTCCAAGAAGCGGCGCTGGGCGGACTCTTGCTTTCAGACCTGTGCGCAGCTTCGCGCTCCTCCAGCCAACGGCCACACGCCGGGGGAGCGAACCTCTGCAAAGCGGTTTGACACGCGGACCAAGAACTTCATTGCTGTCAATATGTGTTAAAGCCACATATGCAGAACAATATGTGCTTTATTACTGAGGCAAAACAGCATGAAAAATATTTTGGGTCACGCCCTGCTTTCTTCGGAAAGCACACGGAGGTGCAGTGCCACGAGCACCCGGTACCAGCTCCCCAGGAGTCACCGAGAACAAGTCACAGTCAGGACAGTGATATTCTGCTGAGAACTCAACCGCCCAGAAATCCTTTCCTGCGTTTTGGGAAGCACTGTACCTCCCAGCTGTGAATCAGCTGGTTCCTTTTTTGTGTGTCTGAACAAAACCATCTTGCATGTATTTCAAATTTTGGAATGACAATTAATAAGCTTACCAGCTGCATCGTACTGAGTGAGACGCTCAACCAAAGGTGCAAAGCCCTTTCAGTTACCAAAACTCAAGGCATTTAAGTGTTTTTGGTGAAGCTAACATATTATCAAAATGCAAATACTAATTTCTGCCCAGTTTATTTGAAGCAAAACTTACCTTCCTGTGCCTGCTTTCCGCAGCAGCTAGTTGGGATAACATTCTTTCCTGCATGTTCTTGCAATGTTTCATCACCACTTTCAAAATAGATAAGGGATTGGAGCATACTGGTTGCTTTTCACCGTGATTTTCCTCTTTCAGAGTCTCAAAATCTCTCTGCAAAGCCATTAATGGATCACTGATGTTGTATTTCCCATAGCGTTCTTCAATGAACGTGTCTCTATGCTGGGCCTGCCACACAAAAACAAATTTTCATTTTGATATACTTAAAATAGAAAACTAGCTAAAGAAGAAATTATTTTGTAGTTAATCTTCCTCTTCCCCAGTTTTCCACTTGGAGGCAAAGAGATCTCGACACAGCCTGACTCCTCCCTGCTGTGAGGACAGGGGTGCTCAGGCAGGCGCAGCCACACGTGTGCCACGTCAAAGGTCCCGGGGTGGCCGACAGGAGACAGAGGGCAGTGCATACGGCAAAGCGGCCACGCGCTGAGCCCACCGAGCGGCCCGAGCCACCAGTGAGCCCCAGAGCCCCCATCAGCCCCACAGCGAGGGGACGAACGCCGTGCTTTTCACAGCCGGGGTGCACGCGCCGCTCCGCTGACGGCACCCTGGCCAAGCACGTCACGACTTCGAAAGGTTAAGTGTGTAGGGAGGCCAATAATCCTCCTACCATCAGAAAGGACTTTTAAGCTGTTAACATTTAAGGTTGCTGTTCACAGGCTGTCTCCAAAGCGCGCGTGTGCTGATTACATGCAGCACGTGCTCGGGTGGTTTCTCGCTGTCCCTCCAGCTGAACAACGTCTTTCAACCAGGTGGCCCCAAACCGACCAAACAAAGGAAAGTCCTGCTTAAAAACACAGCGTCCCCACACTGTGCTCAGTCTGCGAACATCCTCATACCACAGCTACCTGCTGGCGCTGCCCATGGCTCACACTGCACCCCTGTGCCAAAGGAAAGCAGGTAAGGATCAGCCCTTGCTCAACAGAAGATTGAATCATTTACTGCTGTTTCGGTGGAAGAGCAGTTGTGTCACTGGCTTGATTATGTCACCATCAAAGAATTTCGTGTTGAGCAATTAAAGAGTTTTATTCTCGCAATGGCCTATAAATCTGTAAATTGTTAATAAAATCCTTAATGTTCTCATGCAGACTAAACAAAGTTTTGTTTCTCAAGAAGCAAGACAGGAATGACTAGGTTTCTTTTGGGGACATGCAAGAATTCAGGAAACTCACACGTACCAGGCTTCCCATTCACAGCGCTCAGAATCAGCCATTCCAGCTGGAAATCTGTTTGTTAGGCTACCAACAGCCTTATCCTACCAAATGCCTACTGTGAAGCTCTAAAAAACACAACAGACTTTCATAAACACACAGATATTTATCTACAGGTTTCACACCATGATAAGAACCCACACGAAAGCAGATATCCACGCAACGCAAGAGGCGAGAGGGAAAACAGAGCTAGATTCAGAGAGCCCTCAGAGCTGACCTGTGCTGGCTCCACGCCGTTTCCACACCGATTTCAGCGGTCACGGGGTCAAGGCGACGTGCCCGGGAACACCCGTGGCGGGGTCCCCGGCCAGCGCCTGTCCCTGGCAGCACGCTCCCGCGCACAGCAGAGCGGAAAGGCTCCAAAGGCAGGAGCCCCAGCACCTTCACCCCAGTTCTTCTTCCCCAGTACGCCATCGCCTGCCACCCAGACTAACTGAAAGCAGAATTCCCCGTGTTTACCTGGCACAGCACCGCAGGACCCGCAGAGGAAGGCGATGGTCCCAGCCGCGCTCTTCTCGCGGAGCCCACACGAC